GGTGGCTGCGTCCACGAGTTTCAAATACAAATCGCGTCCAGCTGGTCCATCCGTTTCACGAACACGTCTGCCCACCTCGTCGGTGGTCTTCCTCGGGAACGTTTTGCTTCGCGAGGAATCCACTCTGATGCTCTTGGTGTCCATCGGTCGTCTGTTTTCCTCATAATGTGACCGGCCCATCGATGCTTCGCCTTCTCAACGTACTCCGCTGGGTCATGAAGATGAAGACGAGACATTTTCTCATATCCGTACTGCGAAGTCCGACAAGATGTTATTTGTGTCGCATCATCTTTAGAAGACTGCACTCTAGCGCTCGGTGGGTGACCCTTATAGCTGAGTTTGCGATACCATCTTGTCTCGAATTCCCCATTAGCAATTCTCACCTGCACGTTTAAGAATGCAAGCCAGTCACCCTTGGGTCTCTCTCTCTCTTGTGAGTTGGATTTGTGAGTACTGCCGATTCAAAAGATCAAAACAAGTGTCCATTTCGCACTGAGTGGGGCATACTATTAAACAGTCATCTATGTACCTACAATACAAAAGAGGTTTGCGTTCCATGACTGGCGCTTCAACTTTGGACATGAAGACGACAGCCAATACAGCCAGCTATTCTCTGTCCCTTGGCCAGACCTCTAACCTGCTTGTAATAGTGCTCCGACCATCGAAAAATGGAACATTGAAAACATTTGTTTACAAGGGTCATTATGCCCTTAACATCAAACCCATACAAGGCAAGAGTGAATTGATGTTGTGTTAAAAGCTCGAAAACTGCCTGCATGGCTGCATCGTTAGGAACGTTAGTGTACAGACGTAACATCGAAAGACTCTCCAACGCTACCGTTGGTCGGAGTGGTGTTCCGCAGGCGCTCAAAGAACATTTGGGTATTAGATAGATGGGATGGAACGTAGTTGAGCAAAGGCGAGAGAATTATGTTAAAAAACCATGAAATCCTGTCCGTCGGACCATCTATGCCACTTATTATAGGTCTAACTCTGAATTCGCGCGGATCGGTCGACGTTAGGCCAGTAGATGGAGGTTTATGTGTTTTAATCAATGTATAGAGGACGGGACAAATGGGTAAATCGTTTTTAAGTCGCGAGATGGTGCGTCTTGGTAATCCTGCGCAACACGCTACGTCTTCCCATATTCTATTTAATCGACGATACTGCTTCTTGTACTCATCAATGGAAGAAAATTTGTAGAGAGTGTCATCTTGTAAGTGGACTTGCGTTATAGCTTTATCAAGCTCCGTTGAGATGACTGCAAACTCTCCTCCTTTGTCACTTACAGAACGTTGATTTCTTTCGAGTCGCAAGGTTACGGACTTCACGTAAACCGCTTTTCTGACGAGGTTAAATTACTTTTGCCCTGTTTTATTTGACTGAGAAGAGAGCAGACAGATGTAGCGAAAGTTTAGCACGTTGACGACAGTGCCGCGCAATGGTGCGCGGCAGGCAGTCTGTCCATGTGGACGACGCCGCGCAATGGTGCGCGGCGGCCTTAAATTCAATACTATCTGTACAATCCTCTCAGTTTTTGTTCATATAATCAACATAGGCTCAGATGTACTTCATGTATTAGCCCCGCCCCTTTTGGCAAACTCCGCCCACTTTTATGCCTCTCACAAGGATCCTTTTGTCCACAAAAAGCATGGATGAGGCTGTAGATGAACGCAAAGACTTCAACAACTTCTGGCCAGGCCCCGCCCACCGTCAGGCAAACTCCGCCCCCTGAGTTGCAAGCTCCGTCCACTTTTTAAAAGTGGCATAAATTCTTGAAATTTGGGCAATTTCCGACATTTTTGGTCGAGTGGGCTTGCCAGAAGGGGCGGGGCTTGCACATTTTGTACTTCGTGCATGGATGCATGCATACATACATGGCCACGCGTAGGGATGCATGGAAACGTCTCGTCCACAGGGACAGACCGCAAAAAAATGGCTCGTCGTCAACGTGTTAAATTTGATGTCTACGTTGTAGTTGGGCTAGATGACAAAAGAGCATGGACAAATCTACCATCATGGATAAAGATCTAAAAATACTGAATCTAGATCAAAAAGTAGATTTATCTAACTCTACTTGGCCTTTTGAATGTATGAAAACAGAGATAAGCAAAATAACAAAAAACAAAAAAAAAGGAAAAAAAGAATATTAAGAGTACCCAGCTGTATAATTTGCAACAACAATGATAAGCTGTAAGCAAATAATCAGTCAGAACACAAACTAAACAACAACTTACTTTCTGCATTAAGAACGAAGAACTTCGGAATCATTGTCCCAAGACTATCTCCTAAGCAAGCCATTTATACACATATCACCAACATAGAGACTGTGATATGATGAAGCTTACGGCATCGACTAACATCTTCGTAAAACCCATAATATGGGAAAGAAAAACATCCAAGGCGAAAACCAGACATTGAAAAACACAGCCGTTCCGAAAAAACAGCGTTACTAATAAGAGGAGAAAAAATATATACAAGACAAAATAAACTCAAAAAATAGTGGTATTTACTCACTTGAAGTCGATGGTTTACGTAAACAGTCAGCAAACAAAAAGTTCACATGGTATTCCCGTGAGAAATTATAAATTATCAATTACTAGATGTTGCTTTGACAAATTCCACTTCGAAATGCGAAATCAAACAATCGATGAAAAAATTAAGTATAGCACTAATCACTAAACTCAGAGCCTAACCATGCTAAGATAAAATTTAAACAAAATCACATAATTAGGTGATCATGTGGATTAGAACGTAGACAAAACAGTGTCCAACAATATGTACTACATATTACGTAACAATTCATTCAGTAAAGTAAGATACAACCATCAAAAAAACACGCTACTACAAACGAAACAAACCCAAAACATAACTACCTTAGTAGTTACTACAAAGACGGAATAGGTCAAAGAAACAAAGAACCAAATATGGATTTACAGTAAATATACTACTGTGCGATGTTAAATCCATAGACTAGAACAAATGAATCATTACACCTGCTGCAGGAAATCGATAAAACATATGGTTTCAAATATCAGAAATATGTCAAACCCAGCGCTATTCGTAAGAATCCAATTGATAGGCGGACGATGTATGACTCATCCACCAACTAGATGAATGAATCCTGACTTTTCAGCCCGGTACTATTTCGTAATAGCCAAGCGAAAGTGTCAAGCGATCGAATGGCGGCAATGCATGACTTAAATGATTGTTAAGACGTATACTGCACGATCCTTAGAATATAAATCAAGGGCAACTAATAAGTACTCAGTTATATGTGTGGATGTATGTTTGTGCACATGTACATATGTATTAGGTTGATTCATAATTAATGCTTGTTTTCTATAGTTCAACTTTCGACCGAGATAATTCTTTTTTGAAAAGACATTCCTGGGCGCAATAAAAACTACTATAACCACCAAGTCAGTGGCTATGAAACAAATACTTATGCGTGACCGCATCCATTACAAGAAACATTTTCTGGCCTGATGATTGCCAACAACTTTTTTCAGAAGCCTCTTTGAGAGAGCATAACTTATGCTGAAATGAAGTAGGATAAAGTAGACTTAACTCATCGTGTAGCCAAGGGTCTCTTGAGCAGTAAGGCCAGGTTTGGATTCTACGGAAAATTTTTGAAAAAAATATCGCAAAAAATCGAAAGCACTCACTTTTTTTGGCATCTCGGCTTGTTCAAAAATGGGTCATTTTTGAAATAATTTCATTTTTTTCCACTGGAAAGTGAGAAAACCCTAGCGCTTTTCTATCATCAAATCAACTAGGTCTACCCTTGCTGAATAGTGCAAAAGACCTGTGATCGTTTTTTGCTTCAAAGTTTTATATGGCACGAAAGGGCCACGACGCTCATTCAAGTTCGCAATTGAATTTCTCGGCTCAGTATCCATGGAATATTTTGATCAGAAAGCGTCTTGTAACACAAAATTTCATAATCCTTATGCTTATTTTTTGAAATTAATCCAGCCATTCCTCATGAATTTAGGGCAAACAGAGTGAAAAGCAAAAATTTTGGGATTTAGCCTCTTTTATTTGAAGGCTTAGAACTTTGAAACGAGAGGAGATGTATGAAAGCGAAGGTCCGCATAAGAAACTAGAAAAACGCTCTTTTAGAATGCATAAAAAGTTTTTGAGGAAATTGGTCACTCATCAAAAACTAGCTCTTGGAAGAAGAGATAAGAAAAAAGTGCATTAATTATGAATCGACCTAATATATATTTGAAAAATACATATGTAAAAAGATACATATACTGTTACAAAAACACACAGTACTCAGCGACATGAAAAATCTTTATTTGCAAGCTACTGGAGGATTTTCGTTATAAAAAGGGAATCATGGGCTTAGGACTTTTTGTAATATGAAAACGGAAAGTTGTCTCCATTTCCTGGAGTTAAAAAAGTAGAACAAATTAGTCTACGCACTTTTCCGCCTTTTAAAGGGGACCAAAAACTGGGTGCTTCCAAATTTTTAGGAGTATCTCGAAGCAAAAAAGTCTCTGTTGATTTACTAATCTTTATGTTTGGGAATGCATGAAGCAAAAGCTGATTAAAATTCGCAACTAAAGTATTTAAGGCCAAAAAATCTCAAACGCCCCTGCATGACTTATCAATTTAAACGTTGTCTACGTTTGAAGTTAACTCTAAGCTTTCAACACAAGCTGACATCTGGGAATTCTAGATTAAATCCCCTTTTGAGTTCACACACTTCCACGAAGTCTCCTTAGATGTAAAAAGTGAGAAGTTGTGTGCAACAAGTCGTGGTCCAAAATCGTAACAATCAGAAAGAAGATGAAGGTGCATCCTTGAACGCAGCTGGGTCTTTATTGTATGAGGTTTCACATCCTTTGCAAAAACGGACAAAACTTTTGGGGCATCCTCATATTTATCTATTGTCTTTGCATCAGGAATTGACCGCAAAAATGGTTACACTTACAACAATTCTTGCTGTATACAAATAATTTATTAGTAGTATAATTGCCTTAAAACCATGCTTTTACCTTCTCCAAGATAACATCAATAAGCTCTCTGAATAAAGTGACAATATAAATAGTAGGATCTGTTTTGTGGCTAAGAATCTATGGACTGAGCCGAGACTGTTACAAAAAGACGCGCATGAGTGACTGTTGTAAGGTTCCTTGTGTTCATGCATTTCGTTATACACTGCAAATGGTTTGAAAGTGGTAGACTGATTAGATGAAAGCCATATCTGGCAACAATAATGAGCGTGACAAAAGGCGAAAACACAAGAACACGTAATAATGAGACTGGAAAGATATTATACAAATGCTATCTGGGAGGCTTTTCCTTAGTCGCAACGAATTCAAAACCACATGATGAATTTATGTACCCCAATTTTACAACAAGACGCACCTGTTTTTTTTCTAAATTCAGCCAGCCTGAACACACCAAAAATTTCGCGACCGAAGGACCCTATACAGTGCTGCGTATTGCTTTAGAGTATCGTGTGGTGTAAGTTTCGTTAGTTTTTTGTAAGTCTGCGCAACCCAAAGAGGCGGCTGAGCGAGAGCAGCTCGCTCAAAAAAAAATCCAAGAAGGTGCGTCTTGTAGTCGTAAGATCAGGGTAATCGTTTCTAGAAGGAAATCCGAGATGTTTCAAATGAAAACTTATAACGCTTTCACGAATCAAAATTCTATAACTCAGTCTTCACTTTAAGCCACTGTAATCAAGTTTTGCTCGCATGCGACCATCAGCAAGGCCTTCATACAACGTGCCCTGATCCACGTTAACGTAGAACTTATATCCCCGAGTGTAGTTAACATTCGCAGTGTCCTCGTTGGAAATTGTGGATAGATTGTCGTTGCCATAGAGTTGGTGTTCTCGTGTAATAAAGTCAGAAATATTTTGATGCGGTACTGGTGGTTGACCAACGTAGTCAGGAAAGTGTACTTCTCGTATTCCACTGACACCCCTATTGCATAGTTTTGTTTGTAGATGCGGTATATCCAACCTGCAAATAGAACGCTTGCAATCACATGTATGGTAAAGATTTTGCGAAAGAGAGTTATATTAAAACAAATGTGTGAAAGACAACGAGCGTGGTGCGCTGAGCTCGCTTTAAACAAAGTCATTACATCTGTAAATGCAAGAAAATAGAAGTGGTTGATATTTTATTGAATTTAAAAGCACCGCCCCCCAGATTCTTGGCTTCCATGATTTTGTCATTTCGGGGCCTTTCTCATGTCACTGATTGCGAATTTTTAAAAGAAAACCCATGGTACAGGCTCTTCTTCTGATCTCTTCATCGTTCGAGGAGCGATTTTCTAAATGAAGCAATATTCTGAGCCGTGACTTGAGGAGAGTCTCATAAATGCAACAGTGTGAGAAATTGCTCACCCGCCTTTCACTCCTGAACCGGGGCCAAGGTGAACACATACGTGTTCTTACAAGCAATTTTTAAAAATATTTCGAAGGCTTGCCGCCGTTTATCCCGAGTTATATATCCCCTTACAAAGTATGTTTCTTAACAGTTTGATTTTCCGAGAATAGGAGAATTTTGTGAACTTGTTTGCTGCTTTACGTCGCATTTGGCATTCGTTTGAATTGAATGAATAATCAGCCTCTTGTAACGTTTTCTTTAAACTCAACTTAATAGGCTATACCCTTTGATTCCACGGGATTGGCGCGCGGAAGGCGACAGCTGCACCCGCAATGCATTTGCTCTCACTCGCGAGCGTGCTCTCTGCGTGAATGCTCTTTGTGATTTGAATCTTTTCTTCCGTTGAGTTTGAAGCAGATTTAGAAGCACCCTCTCTCGTTTGCTCCCGGTGCACCTTGAATTAGGGGTCTTGGCAGCATACTATAGTAGCAGTGGCGGACCGAGAGGGGGAGGATGCGGGGCCTAATCCATTTCAAGTGAATTTCTTGCTTGTGGCTCAACATTATAAACTCAACTGAGTAATTCTCCAGAAAGTCCGGCACGAGTTGGTTTCTGAGGACTTTTGGACAAATTTCCCTTTGATTCCGCAGTCTTATAAAATTACATCTGACACTTTGACCCAAAAATCTATCGATTACAAGGCTGGGGTCACAAAAAGCCGAGCAAGTATGGAACAGATCGAAGGCAAAAAATCAATAGGACACGATAGAAAAATTTAGAACTCATGTAGACAGAATATGTGCTCTAAACTAATTCACTCAGCTGTCCTGGAAACGGACTACCTCGAGAAAACTCACATTGCATATGTTTCAAACTTTTCACACAATATTTCGTTCAATGATTAGTGAACCAGTAATCTAAAGGTGCTATTCAAAAGAGCGTTCTCTTCAGGACCGCCATGCGGTTTCCCGCTATTTGCACATTTTCGAATTGCACTTACGATTCTTTATATATTAGATAGATATCATAAATGTAGTCCAAATTTGATGTCATATGCTTGCCTTCGCGCTGTAAACAGGCCATGTTTATTTACTTACATTTGGACAGGACGCACTTTGCGAAATAACACATGGAGCATGATAGTCATCATGAAGTGATTTGTTCCTAAAGCGTACAATATCGTCTGTGTGGCGGCAAGCATGTTTTACGATACCCCTATGCCTTACTGCTATTTCTTCTTTAGCCTGTCACCAAGAGTGTTAATAGCATTATTACGACTGACGTTTCGGCGTCGTCGCCTTTCTCAGAGCGAGTAAAAACCATAAACATCTGTGCCATTCTCTGGAATTGACGGCAAGACTCCAATATTTCTCTCCACTATCTTATCCCTCGACTCATTGCACATTGACATTCCATGTGAACCAGTGGCGTACCCAGGATTTCGGCTTGGGGGGGGGGGGGGGCGCGACAAAAATTTTTTTCTAAAGAAGGTGCATGGCGTTAGCCACGCACTCCGAAAAAATTTTTGGGGTGGTTCTCAAAACTTTTGCGGGTCTCCGACCCCTAAAATCTGGAAAAAGGGGGCGTGGCGTCAGCCACGCCCCCGAAAAAAATTTTTTTACAAAGCTAATTTGAATTTTTAAAAATTTTTAAAAATTATCTTAATTATTTACAAAAATAAACAAGTCACTTGCACATTTTTATAACCCATATAAGTAACTTTCAAAAATTTCGCGACCCATTCTCGGGGGGGGGGGGGGGGCGCGCGCCCCCTCCCTGCCCCCCCCCCCTCGGTACGCCACTGATGTGAACATATAGCGCAGCGAAGACCTGGGCATAAGCGGTCATATGCGCGATTACGCGCCAACTTTTTTTGAGGATGGGGGTGGGTGTCTACGACCCTAACGTGCTCTGCAAGCCCTGCATGCTGTGAACTTCTCCTTTGCTCTACTGAAATCATCCGATATGAAAAGACTTTTCGGTACAACTGCTGAGCTTGAACAAGATTGTTATAACAACTTTTATTGGCTAACGTCGACGTTTCGGCGATCTACGCCTTCTTCGGACCCTGAAAAGACGAAGTCATAAGTGTCTATCCATTCAGACGCCAAGTGCTAGGAACAAAACAAACCCGAGGAGAATAGTCAAAGACATTATCAGAGCCACAAGAATACATACTCAGCTTATACGCAGCACAATAGGTAGTTGGAGAACAGACCACACCACCTTATGCAAGACTGTGCCTCCAACCTCTATTTATGCGCCTGAGTGACCTGACTTCAGTCAAACCACAGAGAGCCCGATAAGGCGCGAGTTCGTTGGTGATTGCAAGGCAGGAACATGAAAGGAACGCAGAATGGAATTTTGGCAGTATGGTTACTTGCGGTCGTGTGCTGGCCGACGAGTATACTCTGATGGGTTATTTTTTTTGTAGGACAACACTGCGCTATCCTTTTGGTCAGATTTAGCAACTTCTCGCACTCGCAGGAATTCGAGGCCGCCTTGGCTATTTGTACATGCTGCCTACCACGGAGCTTTGCTGCTAGGAGCAGAGCGGTAATGTACAGTGATGTTCCTGGCTAAGCTCGCGATACCGCTTTGTTTTGTATGAGCCATTGGATACATGTACTTGCACATCAAGAGAGGCTAACCAGTTGTCACGGGGCGCCTTTCAATCAACCTTACGCTGTTAAATTTGTTGTTGAGAAATCTGAAGCAAATTTCTATCTCCTGTTATGTAAGGCATACAATGCAACACTCGCCTGCAAAGGCAGTATAACAGCAGCCCTTGCGCGAGTACAGGACTTTCTTTGACATGAAGGTTATGGCTACAGTAGGTGCAAGCGTCTCTCAATGGCCAACACCCTTACTTGTTGATTATACTGCCCGGACACCGGGAAATGTTGAAGTAAGCATTTCCCCAAAAGTGTCGTGATCTGCTTGATGTTGAATTCATACATGTTCAAAGAGTCCTAATGTTTACAAAGAAGTCAAATAGAGCCTGCATAGCGGCTTCATTTGAGACGTTGGTCTACAAAGAGGTCACATCAAAGAACTTAACACGTTGACGACAGTGCCGCGCAATGGTGCGCGGCAGGCAGTCTGTCCCTGTGGACGACGCCGCGCAATGGTGCGCGGCGGCCTTAAATTCAATACTATCTGTACAGTCCTCTCAGTTTTTGTTCATATAATCAACATAGGCTCAGATGTACTTCATGTATTAGCCCCGCCCCTTTTGGCAAACTCCGCCCACTTTTATGCCTCTCACAAGGATCCTTTTGTCCACAAAAAGCATGGATGAGGCTGTAGATGAACGCAAAGACTTCAACAACTTCTGGCCAGGCCCCGCCCACCGTCAGGAAAGCTCCGCCCCCTGAGTTGCAAGCTCCGCCCACTTTTCAAAAGTGGCATAAATTCTTGAAATTCGGGCAATTTCCGACATTTTTGGTCGAGTGGGCTTGCCAGAAGGGGCGGGGCTTGCACATTTTGTACTTCGTGCATGGATGCATGCATACATACATGGCCACGCGTAGGAATGCATGGAAACGTCTCGTCCACAGGGACAGACCGCAAAAAAATGGCTCGTCGTCAACGTGTTAATAATGCAACACCTACCTAGCTGAGCCTCACTTAGAGCCGCATGCATTGACATCCCGCCGAAGAGGGAATCGCAGCTTACAAGAAACCTTCATATCCTGAAGCTCCAGATATCTGGATTTCACGTTATCTACCTATCCGTCAGTGGCGTGGCGAATCCAGCATTTCCCTTCAGGAGGGGGGGGGGAAGCGGCAAAAAATTTTTGGAGCAGAAAATGGAGCGGCGAATATCATTGTACATTACCGCTCTGCTCCTAGCAGAAAAGCTCCGTGGTAGGCAGTATGTTCAAATAACCAAGGCAGCCTCAAATCCCTGCGAATGCGGGAAGTCGCTAAATCTGGCCAAAAAGATCGCGCAGTCCAAGTGTTATCCTTTAAAAATGATCCATCAAAGTATACTCGTCGGCTAGCGCACGACCGCAGGAAGTGTCCTTCCAAAATTCCATTCCGCGTTTTTTCATATCGGATGATTTCAGTAGAGCAAAAGAGAAGCTCACACTCAGATAATCGCCGGGGGCAAGCGGCCATGCGAATTTTGAGCAAGCGGGCACCGGAAAAATAGTTCGCTGATTTTTTGTGGTCCGCTTGCAGAAATTTCGAATAATTTTGGCCAATTTTTAGACGAACGCTCGAAGATCTATCGCGGTTTTTCTATACATAAGTTGCGGCACAGTGGCCGCATTCTCGCGGATTTTCCGCGAGAACATGCAAAATTAATGAGAGCCGCACAGTCCTTTTTGAAGGACCGCACAGCCCTCAGGTACTTTCCGCTGAAAGAAAGTACCCCGAACTTGGGTAATAAAACCATCGATGGCACCTCTGCCACATAGAGTCTCATCTTTTCTCGGCGTACGCCCGAAACTGCGTAAAAAGAGTCTGAGCGCCTGCTGAAAGTTGGGCCAGCGCTTGCTGAAAGAGATTGTTTGACGAGCGCTTGCAGAAAATTTTGTATTGATGCCCGCTTGCAGAAAACGCAAATACCGCCCGCTGAAGATTTGGCCACGCCCCGAAACCCTGCTGACCGCCTGCAGAAAAGCGCGAGTTTGCGGACCGCCTTCCCCCCGGCGATTATCTGAGCAGCATGCAGGGCTTAAAGAACACGTTAAGGTTAGTCATTCCGTCCCCATGCTCAAAAAACATTTGTCATGTAATCGTGTATATGACCGCTTATGCTCAAGTCTTCACTACGCTATATATCCGTATGGGAGGCCAATGATTGCTAAGAGTTGGGAGCGGAGTATGTAGGAATCAATAGTGGGTGAAACTGGTAGGCCTGTAAGCGTAAAGTTTAAGGAGCAGCCTTGAGCGGCCTTGACAAGGTCAAAGTTGTCTACAGCTCTAGGTGAGCATCGCAGGCAATGCCATACAACTTTTTTCAACGTACCTAACTTATCGCACGAACCAAAACTATTAGGTTGATGCATAATTCCTGCACCAAAATAGGTACAGACCGCAATAACTCGGAATAATCCTATTTTCCAAGTAGGATTCGATATATCATTTGATAGCGCAATCCTAGCTCTACAAGATAGTGCTTAAATATCTACACCAGCTTTAATCCACGCGAAGTTTTGAGCCAAAAACTGAAAAAAACCCTGCGTCCGAAAACCTTAACACAGATCTTAAAAAAATTGTAACTTCGTTCAAAAAGCTCATACAAATTTTCTTTCTTGCTCACGCGTAGACGTTCCACGTAAGACATTTATCTATGCGGTTGCTGTATTTTTTCTCAACCAGGCGATGAAAAAAAAAAGTTTTTGAAGTTTTTCTTGTTTTTGCCAAATTAGTGCTGAGATGTTCTAGTATTAACAGTTGTATAGTATAATACATGCCGTTAGCAGTGAAACTTTACATTTTCAGCCTTCTAGAACTGCTAGTTCGCGAGAAATAACGAATCTAGCTCTCCTTATCCAAATTTTTCTTGCCTAGTTGCTAAAAATTCGATATTTTTCGTAAACCAGCTGCTCTAAAGAGCTGAAAATTCAAATTCACGCTTCTAAGGTCCTATAGTATACAACTGTCAGTGCTAGAACATTTCAGCATTGTTTTGGAAAAAACATGAAAAACTTCGTTTTCTCATCGTCTAGTTGAGAAAAAAATACAGCAACCGCTAGATAAATGTTTTACGTGGAATGTCTACGCATGAGCAAGAAAGAAAATTTGTACGAGCTTTTTGAACGAAGCTACGATTTTTTTAAGATCTGTCTCAAGGTTTTCGGACGCATGGTTTTTTTCAGTTTTTGGCTCAAAACTTCGCGTGGATTAGAGCTGGTGTAGATATTTGAGCACTATCTTGTAGAGCTAGGATTGCGCTATCAAACGATATATCGAATCCTACTTGGGATATAGGATTATTCCGAGTTATTGCGGTCTGTACCTATTTTGGTGCAGGAATTATGCAACAACCTAATAGCTGCTTGCGTTAGAGGTCTTTTTACCTTCAAAAACTCGAAAATGAACCATGAAGACGAATAGTCGCCGTGATTAGAAAGTTGGCCTCTTATCAATCTCTCATTTGTCCAAGGTCAGATGCTTTAAGGGCTCGCAATACCCTAATTTTAGATATACAAGCCGCACTTTTTTCGCTCTTCCAAGCGAGCCGCTAAGACGCGTCGTTGTTTTCGAAGGACGAAACTTTTGCCACTTGACATGATATCTTCACGCAATGAGCAACACGGTATAGGGTCCTTTGATCGCGAAATTTTTCGGTGTATTCAGGCTGGTACTTTAGAAAAAAAAAGTAGGTGCGTTTTGTTGTAATTAGAGTAATTAACAGGCAGATTCCACATACGTCTCGGTAAGCGCTAATTTTTTTGCCGTCGGGTAGGTGTTTCAGAGAATAGCACAATTTTTATAATCTTTTCAGGCTGGAAAAGGCGACGACGCCGAAACGCTTACCGTAATAAACTATCAAAAATCTTGGTGGCAGGCCGTATAAGAAATACCAGTAATCAACTCTATGCCAAGATTCATAAGCGACCAAGTTTAGGGCCTGTTAATCGTCACTAAAAATCAGCACGCATTTGAAATTGACTGGCCCGAGGGCAACCACCTTTGTTTGGTTGGAAACAAAGTTTTGCAATTACTTCAATGACTTTTTTCTTTTTCAGCATGGCACACTAAAATCTTGCCATTATATTGGTTATGATGTAAGCTGCAAAAGCAGCTGTTCTTCTGCCAAATTCTGAACGGGGGGGAGGGGGTACGGATGATACTGTACAAGGAGAAAAATTATAGAATATTTATAGATTTAGCTAATTTGGCACAAGGCGGTTATTCGACATGCTGATTACGCTAATAAACTGAAGTTGCATGCGCTTTTTTGTAAGGGTAGGTTTACGGTTTATGGTTTCATCTCAATCAAGAAAAACTGTATTATTCAACATGCATATGACGTTCGCGTTTATCAGGTCAAATAACCCCAATATGCAAAGACTCAGTGCCGCATGCACTAACATCCCCGCCGGGGAGGGGATCGCAGCTTAAGGGCCGCATGCACTAATATCCCCGCGGGGAGGGGATCGCAGCTTCAGAAGAAAGCTTCATATCCTGAAGCTTCGGATATCCGGATTTCACGCTGTCTACCTATCCGTAAGTATTCCTACTACACTTCACTATGAACATGTTGCACAGGAGCGAGAAGCTGTACAAACCGCATTTTCCAGCTTTTGTATGATCCCTGATTATCCCCGGCGTCTTTCTTTAAGGTCATTTTTCTTTCTCCGAAGTTAACGAAAACCTTTCAAAGTTGTACTGAACATCTAACACAATACTGCTAAGCATGTTGCTGATGAAAACAAATGAGTTTTTGAAAAGTCGAATTTTTCGGTAAGCCTCAAATTTCGACCTGTGGATCATCGCAAATTTCATGACTTCAAAACATCATTTGTTCTTAGCAGCAACATGCTAAGCACTGTCGGGTTAGACAATCTGCACAACTCTGGAGATTCTTCGTTAACTTCGAAGAAAGAAAAATGACTTTAGAGAAAAGCGCCGGGGATCATCAGGGATCATACAAAAGCTGGAAAATGCGGTTTGTACAGCTTCTCGCTCCTGTTCAACATGTTCATAGTGAAGGGTAGTAGGAATACTTACGGATAGGTATACAATGTGAAATCCAGGTATCTGGAGTTTCGAAATATAAAGCTTTCTTTTAAGCTGCGATCCCCTCCCCGCGGGGATGTTAGTGCATGCGGCCCTAAAAGAAAGCTTTATATTTCGAAACTCCAGATACCTGGATTTGTTGTGTATCTATCCGTAAGTATTCCTACTACCCTTCACTATGAACATGTTGGTCAGGAGCGAGAATCTGTACAAACCGCATTTTCCAGCTTTTGTATGATCCCTGATGATCCCCGGCGCTTTTCTTTAAAGTCATTTTTCTTTCTCCGAAGTTAACGAAAAACCTCCAAAGTTGTGCAGATTGTCTAACCCGACAGTGCTAAGCATGTTGCTGATAAGAACAAATGATGTTTTGAAGTCATGAAATTATCGATGATCCACAGGTCGAAATTTGAGGTTTACCGAAAAATTCGACTTTTCAAAAACTCATTTGTTCTCATCAGCAACATGCTTAGCACTGTTGTGTTAGATGTTCAGTACAACTTTGGAAGGTTTTCGGTAACTTCGGAGAAAGAAAAATGACTTTGAAGAAAAGCGCCGGGGATCATCAGGGATCATACAAAAGCTGGAAAATGCGGTTTGTACATCTTCTCGCTCCTGTTTAACATGTTCATAGTGAAGGGTAGTAGGAATACTTACGGATAGGTACACAACGTGAAATCCAGATATCTGGAGCTTCAGAATATGAAACTTTCTTCTAAGCTGCAATTCCCTCCCCAGCGGGGAGGTTAGTGCATGCGGCCCTCAGCGAATTCTGAGGTTTCGCCTCATTAACACTTTGACGACCCTGCAGATTTTTAGTTGTCTGCCTTTTGGGACCAAGGCCTTTTACAGGCCAGCCCATATTTTTCGACTATAATTATGCATGCTTCCATCTACAGCACACTTACATTAAATCTGAAAGGCCGATAAAAAAGGTAGAGGTCATCCCCAGATGCAGTGCAGAAGAAAGCTCATGGAGTCTATACCAGTATAGTAGTCATTTTTACATCAAGCCTTGACACACATGGTGTGTCAAGCGGTCCCACGCGGTAGTCATTGCTTGACACACCGTGTGTGTCAAGCGGTCTGCTTGACACACCATGTGTGTCAAGCAGTCGTTAATGTGTTAACCATTGACGGTCGTCCCTAGCAGTTGCGTACAGTGTCGATCAACTTTGTGCGGGCGTCATATCTCAAGTTATCTTCAAATTTCATTTTTTTTCACTAGGTTATCTTTTCATCAAGTTAGTTTTCATAATTAGTAAATCAACTTCTAGCAATAATTCACACACAATTTGAGATCATTTCGCACCGACAAAGTTGCTAACGGCTTCATTTTAGCTTACAACTCCAAAAATTCTCGGAAATCACTAGTTTTTGGAAAACGCCTCTGATTTTTCTAATTCAACTTTAAAATTCATATAGTTTGTGCATAGTTGTAGAACGCAGTACGTTTTACTATTGCCAAAGTTTGAGTGCACAACATCCAAAGCGAGTAAAGTTATGAAGAGAGTTACAAAACTTAATTTCCAACCTAATGTATAGAGCCAAGATCCAACATATCCTTTTTGCTCGGATATCGCTTTCAAGAGTAGACAAGCAGCGGAGAATACAGAGCTTCCAAGCGCATATAAGGATTACTTTCGTTCATCACTACGAGACTTAATTGAGTAACGTTCTAGGTGTCAAATCGGTTTCTGTACAAAAACGCGATTCCGTAGACCTCAAAACTGTTGGAAGTGCTGCTCCACCAAATCTAGATTCAAAGAAAGAAAGAATGTTTCAATATTCAGTCTTTACGCGTATTAGATCATGGAAGAACCTACGGTTGAGGATAATCCAGCTCTGTATTTATTGCCATAGCCGCAATGGGTGGCTCTTCCGATTCGTCCTTTGGCCTAAAAAGTAAGCCGTTTATTCAGGTGTCCTTTGCCTAGTGGGCTAACGATTTAATCCGGTAATGTAATGCTGACACACAGGCGAGAGCCAACGCCAAAATCATACATTTGCGATAACTAAGCTTCATCAGGCATAGTAGTCACTAATAGTTCATTTAGTACAATAAACACTGAAAACACTTGAAGTTCCGTTCAAAGATGTGCAGACAAGAATGCAAGTCCGTCTGGTTACAGAGGGTCGCAGACTTTACGCGTCTGTTTTCCTAGTCATTTCATGACAAGTAGATTGATTCGTGACATTGCACTGTTCTGTTCAAAAAGAGATCTCTGTCCAGAATTCACATTACCTCTATACAAGCGTCTCCCAGTTAGATTGTCCTTATCTTTTCATATTTGAACCTTTAATTAATATTTCTCAAAAACTGAAACATCTACAAGGTTACAAATTTGTGGCATGTTTCTGAGGGAATAAGCTATATAACCAGATATTCGCGTGGAACACAGAATCGCTACAGGCAAAGTTCAAAAATCCAGCGCATTACTTTTTCTTTTCTAGGCGCCAGAAATTACAGCAATTGACTGTATAGAACTGATGGGTAGAGTATATGGAGTAAGAAATTTGCAAAACTCCTTCGAACTGAAATACAGTTATTCTCGTTCCATCTTTCAATAACTTCCAAGTCCCGTTTTTATGAAACCTGGGTCTGTGTCATTCATGTCATGAATCAACGCCGCCAAAGATCGTCTCTAAACGAGTTATTTTCGGCTTTCTCTCAGTCGCGCTAGTGTAGAAATCGTGCAGAGCAAGAATGACGTACCGGAAGACCTACGACATGCGTGAAGTCCGCACCGGAAGCGGTCGCGGCGGATGGATGAGTTACCTCTACATCGAATGTGGTCTGGCGTACCGACTCAGACAGCCGATCGGACCCCTCCGGCGCAGAAATGGCAGGGCCGCGGGGTTTCCCCAGCGGGGGGTCTGCCACTCGTGCGCCGGAGCCCCCGATTTTCTGCGCCGGAGCCCCCTGATTTTGTGCGCCGGAGCCCCCCGATTTTGTGCTCCGCAAGTCTGCAGCGGCATACTGTAACTAACCCTAAATAAGCTCCAAACCCCAATTATGTCTCTAAACCTCACCCAAATTAGCCGAATACGACCCCCCCGGTAAGGACTTCAGCGCGACCCTCACCCCCGTACTCTACCCCCTCCCTCTCACCCCTAGCGTTTGTAGATAGAAAATAGAAGAATGATGACAAGACGAAACATTTATTTCAAATTGACTGCAAAACGATTTACTGAAAATTGCAGTTGTTTTGATTTGCATCCAATTCTGTTTGTGGCAGATGTGATGAGATGCAGTTCGATCACTACGGGCTTGGTTATCGGGAGGAACAGCTCCGGTCGTTCAACGTTGTGTGGTCCTCGAGCGATTCTTCCAGAAAACACACTCTGGATAACATTGGTGGAGTGGCCGTGGAGGTTAAGCGGAATTTTTTTAGTGATAGGTGTCGTAATTTGTGGTTTTTCCATTTTTATAAGTGCGAAGCTCTTGCATCATACCCTCGATACATAAGAGCCACATACTCTGGTAACCTTCACTTTGAGGGCTATGAGGGGACACAACCTCCACCTGGGAAAAAAACAGAAGTCATCCGGGCGAAGCCCCGGATGTTATTATCCTGACTATATCGGAAGAATATGAATGAACCAAATATAGGAGAAGAATATCTGAAGAGTATCTCAGTGAAACCGAGAACACTGAAAAGAGAATTTCTGTGAGAGTTTCCTCAGAATTCAGGACAACGTTTCCCAGTTAGCCTCTTACTTGACCAAAAAAAGTTTCAAAAGTTTGGGAAAGCTGTTGGAGTTGAATTAGAACAAGAAACTGCGCTTAAATGTGCGCAGAGAGTCGCGCACGAAAATGCTGGTCTGTCTCGTTAGCAAGTGACTTTTAAAGCTTGGGGTGTTGTCAGCTCTCCTCGTCGTGTCATGACGGTCAGAATGATATATAATGTTACAGGGTTTCGTTCAGACCCCGACGAGATCTACGACCAGAGCCAAATGCCCCGCCAGCTCTGGTCTGTCTCCGCTGCTCGTCTGCGTCTCCGCGAGCTGCGCGCTACCTCGCTACCCCAAACGCGGGGCGCGGGGCATTTGGCTCTGGTACACTTTTCTTCGCTGTTTCGAACCCAATTTTAGCAAGCTATACATCGTTTTGAAGCTCTTGATCTCTACTTTTACGCTGACAACGTCCAAAAATCATATTTTTTGATTTGAACGAGAAATCCAGCAAAAACCTTGTTTTCGAGAATCTCTTGTTTTTCTTCTAGTTTACCTCTTTTCACGCGGTTTTTTCGTGCATTCTATAGAACTTGCTTCTGTTCACAATGCAGACAACCACCCAGCCTTTATCTCTTCGATTATTGTGGAATTTTTTGCGAAAAATCGTAAAAAGTGCATTTTTCTTTATCTTGTTCTGTTTCAGTGCTTTCGCATCGATTTTTTTCCAGCTTGAGCGATTGTTGCTCAGAACAATAAGCGCAACAATCCAGACAACGTCCCAGGAAACAGGAACGTTAATGCGGGGGTAAAAATTCAAAGGACGCATTAAAAATCAAAACCCCGTGTTGCGAATTGCTGGTCCTGAGGCGAAAACTTGCACCTTGGAAAGCCGCCTAATGAAAGATTTCAAGCCTCATTGCAGCGTTTTATCCGGTTTTCAGCAGTTTCTTTTACTTTTTATATATATGTTTTATGTCATTTTCTCTTCTCCGATCTTCTTTAAACAACCTTCACTAGTTATGACGTCAGATGTTCAAACAATCTTCACTTTTGACGCCCTATCTCTAGGCTATCGAAGGTATGTCTTGCATCGAACTGTGGCCGATGTCTTACGCTGAATGCTGAAAAGTATGAATGTGGCTGGTGTGTTATAGACAACAGATGTGTTAGACCAATGGCATGCTTGACAAGATCACCACAAGATTGGCTGAATAGCACGCAGCTGTGTGCAAATCCAGTTAATGAAGACTTCAGTCCTAAAAAGGGACCCGTCGGTGGAAAAACGAAGGTTGAGTCTACTGCTGCTGCGTTCAACTGTGGAATTGTCGCTTTTACTAGCGAGAAAGTACTATCAGGTGAGGTGACCATGTGTACTGAGACTAGTGAACCAGTAACTAAACGTACCTTGCCAAGCATCTTGCCAAGCATGCCATTGGTCTGACACTTCTGTTGTCTATAACACACCAGCCACATTCATACTTTTCAGCATTCAGCGTAAGACATCGGCCACAGTTCGATGCAAGAGCTTCGCACTTATAAAGATGGAAAAACCACAAATTAAAATTACGACACCTATCACTAAAAAAATTCCGATTAACCTCCACGGCCACTCCACCAATGTTATCCAAAGTGTATTTTCTGGAAGAATCGCTCGAGGACCACACAACGTTGACCTCGACCGGAGCTGTTCCTCCCGATAACCAAGCCATTAGTGATCGAACTGCATCTCATCACAAGCACAAACAGAATTGGATGCAAAATCAAAACAATTGCAATTTTCCTCATATCACATTGTCGTCGAATGTCCCGACAGCAGGTTTTTCGCGTTCAACGTTTCCTACTTTGAAGTGACATCGAAAATCCGTCATGAAGATCGGATCGAGGTTTTGGACCTTACAAATCCAAGCTCAAAATGAGCACTTCGTAGAATGTACCACTCACCTTCACTGTGATATCTCTCCTTTCACCTGCAGCTACGTAAAGTTTGGTTTGCAGTGCGACGGTACGTGGACATTTCTGTGGACCTTTTCTCCTAGAGTGACCCTCACGTTGGAATGCAAATTTGAAAACTTATCTATCATCAGAACAAGGACACAGACTTTCCCTGCATGTTATGACTTTGTGCAAAGTCTGAGAACTTGGAATCTCGAAAAAAATGAAAATTTCTTGAGCGCCTGTCACAATTTCTAACAGGTAAACTGTAAGTAGACGATATACTGAAAAATGTGAAAGAGTTGCATGAACTTGCATAGCAGATCTGCATTTAGCAAGAATGCGACAGACTAACGTATAAGATATTCCCTGAGACAGAGCCAAGCAGTGTACGGATAATTCTAGCATTAATCAATCCCGGAAACACGGAAATAATTCGAGAGACACCACATAAGGGTACCGAGGCCGAATCTCAATCACAAAAACCACTCCATCAATAGTCAGCGATGTCTCAGCAAGTCGAAAAGAGCCAAACACTAAAAGTGACTAAGTGCATCCGCACGAAAACCTAAAGCCTGAAACCTGAAAAGAAGGAGATGAACAAATAAACGCCAGCGCGCCGACGAGGAACACGAAAAACCAAAAAAAGAAAAACGAGCGCGAAAGAACGACAAAAAACGAGTAGGACGAGAGCGACGGCAACTTATTTTCGAAAATGCTAAGCTGCTTATCACAGCAAATTGACTGCGTACATATATGTGCGCCGGACCCCTCCCATTTTGTGCGCCGGAGGCCTCCCATTTTGTGCGCCGGAGGCCTTCCATTTTCTGTGCCGGAGGCCTCCCATTTTCTGTGCCGGAGGCCTCCCATTTTCTGTCCCGGACCCCTCCGATTTTCTGTCCCGGACCCCTCCGACTTTCTGCTCCGCGGCTCTTCCAAATCTGGCGGGCTCGCGGCGGGCAAATCTCTGCGCCGCGACTCCAGCAAATCTGGCGTACTATCGAGAGGTTTGCAAGCCCGCCGGAGGGGTCCGATCTGCCTTCTTTGTGACGTCACAAGAAGGAACCGCCCCCTCGCCCCGCTCTCATTGGTCAACTGGGTCCGCCGCGGCTCTGGCAGATTTCGACTGTCCGCCGGAGGGGTCCGATCGACTGTCTGAGGATATGAAAGAAAGAAAATTAGCAGTGGATAACAGACACTGTTGTTACTCATCACTGGATTCCTTGCAAATATCCAAAATGCTTCGATTGCTTTCCTAGCCGAGGTCTCTTTTTTGTAAGATAGAATCTTTCATTTGTTGAAGGCAGTATCCGGGCAAAAACTCGATTTTTAGAAAATTCACTTACCGGGAGTTATCCGCAACGCTAAATCCGAAAACCCACATTAAAAGCGCGAAAACGGCACGAGCATGTGTTTTCCAAGGCCTTACAATTTAAAATTCGACGGTCCCCGCCAAGACTGAGACGCAGAGTCGCTGCGGGACCCTAAAATTTCGACTGTGGCGGCATGCGTACTCTGCATAGTAGAAATTTATGTCCATAAAGGAATTTAACAAGCTGACGACCGAGCTATTTTTGAGCACATCAAAATGAATTGATGATCTACGGCTGCAGTTTAGACTGTTTAACAGCTACCGCAATGTTGTGTGTTGACAACCAGGCCACCAGTGTTATCACTGCATAGAGGTTACTTAATAAACAAGTGTTTCAAACTTCTCATTCGCCATCGCAAGTCATAAAGCTCACTCGCGATACCACAAAGCGGATGACTTTCCTGTCTCAGCGCACAGGTAAGGCTATCTATCGACATTGCAAGTCTCAAATGGCGCCGCAAAGGAGGCTATAAGAACATTTCTGTCAATGTAAAATTTGCACATCCTGCCTCTACGAAAGGAGCTATAATTGCAAATATGTTTAGAACAGCAATGCAGATGTGTTCCGGAAAACATGAACGGCGCGAATCACGAAAGTCAACTCTTAATATTGCTTGTAGCAATGGTTATCGTTTCTTACCACGCACTCGACGTTCTGGAAATTTAACAGCGTTCAATGCGGTACTAAGCTCCCACTTTGTCTTCCATTCATTTCTGATAGTATTAGCGCGGCATTTCAAAAATGCACTTAACGCGCACAACTGCAAGATGATGTCGTTTTAGTGAATATTCCGAACGACAACATCAAAATGCAGTTAGTTGTAACAGGCTCTACGACCAATGTTGTACGTTGGAGCAATGCATGGTATGTCCATATGGTAGATTAGGAGATTGCGCGAAAGTGGGAGTGGTGTACCAAATTGAATGTCTTAGCTGCAAAGCATCATATATCGGAGAAACTGAAAGATCACTCAGCATTCTTGAAACTGAAAGATCACTCAGCTTGAAGGAACACTTAGCAGATAAAAGGCGTCAAAGCTTAGTTTCACCGCAAAGAAAGCACAGATGCCGTATAAAGGAGTTATAAAGGCATGTCAGGAAAAGGTGGGGGATTTGGAATTTCAGTGCCATGCGAATGTGGCCCCCTCAGACATAGCATCGCGCTAGTATGAAATTATAACGTTCGACCTAATTTAAAAAACGATCGGGAATTAAGGAAACTTACGCCTTAGGGCGGGGTCCTCCAACTTGTTTAAATTCCTATTATGCAGAGTACGCATGCCGCCACATCGAATTCTTAGAATCCCGCAGCGACTCTGCGTCTCAGCCTTGGCGGGGACCGTCGAATTTTAAATTGTGAGGCTTTGGAAAACGCATGTTCTTACCGCCTTCGCGCCTTTTGATGTGGGTTTTCAATTTAGCGTTGCGGATAACTCCGGCAAATGGATTTTCTAAAAATCGAGTTTTTGCTCGGAAACTGCCTTCAACACATGTAAGATTCTATCTTACGAAAGGGAGACCTCGGCTAGGAAAGCAATTGAAGCATTCTGGATATCCGCAAAGAATCCAGTAATGAAGAACAACAGTTCTGTCACTCAGTGCTGATTTCCTTTCTTTCATATCGCTACGCCAGCTATAGATCACATTCGATGTAGGGTGACTCATTCGTCCGCCGCGACCACTTACTTCCGGTGCGGAATTCACGCATGACGTGGGTCTTCCGCTACGTCATTCTTGCTCTGCAGATTTCCACACTAACGCGACTGAGGGAAAGCCGGAAACTGACTCGTTTAGAGGCGATCCTTGGCGGCGTTGATTCATGGGTTACACTTTAAACCATTTTTAGGCCACTGGGGAAGACGAAGGCGTCGAAACCTTGGGCCGTGAGATTGAAAAAAAGCCCTCTTACTAAACCTGTGTGAAGTAATTTGAAGATATTTTCATTTTTTTCGGAAATACGGATTTATCGTTTTGGTTGAAACTCAATGCGGATCAAGCTTGGCGCCAACTTTTGAACGCCTTGTAAAGGTACCCTGTTCCTACTAGGAATTCAGAAACTTATGCCAGTGAAAAATCAGATATGAAAAGACTTATGGAACAATCTAATATGTTATCTCGAGCCAAAATCTTCAGTTCCCTCGTGAAAACCGCACGTGCTAAATTTGCCTAAACCTCAGAGCCTTCAAAGGTTAAAGGAGAGTTATCTAGATATCCACTTGAATAATATGGTGAAAGTGTCTCATTTAAGCCGCAGGGCAGCACGTGGCAGTTGGAAATTGGTGAAACTACTTCGCTTTGCCCATTATCGATTTCTACGCTCTCCCACTTAATCCCGTCAGCTGCGTATGTTATTCCATTGGCGCTTTTCCTTCCTCAAAAAAAAAACCGGGTTGGTGTTAAGAATCCTTGACAAGGAGGAGAGGAAAAGTTTTCTAAACAAAATGTTACGATACTCCAGACTTCAAATGTAGAGCAGATTTATGTAAAAATTTTAAATTTACGAAATTATTATAGTGAAATGAAAGTTTTACCTACCTCAGGGCATTAGACGGGCAATTGCACACCTAATCTGGAAAACATTTGAGCACGATCTTCGTTCAAATAAGTCTATCATAAATTTTCATACTATGTACCCTAGTTCAACTGCGCGCGCACACACACACTTGCCACCTGCCTGCCTTATCGTCATCTGGTATTGCAAACGAGCCATTTTATCATTTTGTGGTAGAGAATTAAAAAAAAAACTTGTCACGACCTTCAATCACACGATTTTTCACGATACTCCGCACATGCTCCTCCTAGTCCATGTACGCCTATACTTCAAATTCTTAGTCATATAGATATGTGCGCGCTGTAATCGAGGCATCTAATTACAACTCATTGAAAAAATTTGTGTTTTTGAAGATGACGCGCAAGTTGACTGTGTTTTTGCGTAGTCGTGTAGCAACTTCAAAGTGTATGTACATGTTAGATATTTACGATAACCCCTTTGCATTCCATCCAGAACGTTTTTCAGCTCGACATTGCCCATCTCGCGCCTGTCCCTGACTTGATGGTAGGGCCATTATGTACTATTTATCATGATCTACTCGGTGAGCAAAAATCTACTGAATGAATCATGCATGATACAGTGATTTTTGTTGAGTCATGTGAGCGCATCACATTTCAGACATTATGCTATCCTAGTATACATTCTACAATGCCAAACAGAGAGGCGACTGAAATTGTGAGGCTTATGCCAGTGTTAAAATTCTGAGCTCTAATTGAAACAATGATTTTCAGTCTAAAAGCGCTAGTAAAGAAATTGCATAAACACCATTTATCGAAAACCATAGATGCTACTTATTCAAAATAATGCATACTAACAGGGTAAAAACAAAAGTGGTTTTGGAAGACTGACATATAAACGCACTGTAGCATGAGGAAACACAGTAATGCTGTAATCAAAAGTTTACCTGCATTCTTTGATACAGTAGTAGAGTGCTAGTAGATGAATTGCAGTAGTTAAGATGGTATCAATCATCATAGCAATAGTGTACCCTTTGGAGACTAAAATATATTCATATATAATTATTATTTGACACTAAAAAAGGGCTTTCATTGATAGAAAGAGTTTATCTTTCAATCCATACCATAGATGGTACTTACTGTTAGTGAAAAAAAGTGTCAATGCAACGTTTGATTCTGAGCGGAGTTAACTTATGTTTTGATCTTACCATTTGATATCAAAGTGAGCGCTACCAAATAAAACAACTATCGTTGTCGCTATATACAATACCGCTCATAATTCGTCAAAAAAGTCGCCGGAGTGCGGCGGAGTGTGGCGGAGTGCGGCGCACTTCACCACACTCCGCCGCACTCCGGCGCACTGCGCCACACTTCACCACACTCCGCCGCACTCCGGCGCACTGCGCCACACTTCACCACACTCCGCCGCACTCCGGCGCACTCCGCCGCAGTCCGGCGACTTTTTTGACGAATTATGAGCGGTATTGTATGTAGAGCAGTCTGTTATGGAATTTTCGGAATTTTGCGATATTCAGGGAAATTTTGTACATTCTGTAAGCGGTATTGTACTCGACGTGCTAACAACATTTCTTATATTGTTTTGCTGCTGGTGGCACATTGTAGGATAGAATATCTGCCAAATTACACGACTTTCGAATTTGAAAGACAATTCATGAGAAGGCGATTTTGTAACATCATAATCTGACGAACAATTCAAATAAAGATCTGTGCTAAGCATGGTCCGATAGAGGTGTTCACAAAGTTTTCAACTCACAAAAATTTGCAGACAATTTCCGCAACAGGTAGGGGAAAAGTGCAGGCGAAGTTGCGATCTTGGTTGGTCCAGCTACTTCTATCTCACTTTAGCTTACTGTAAGACTCTCTAGTGCAAAATAAATAGGATTTTCGTAAAGATCGGGACCAAAAACCACTATGAGTAAAGTTTACAGTCAATCCGAGAACTTCAATATTTTAACCAAATCTTACGCCGAGGCCAAGAGTGAGGAGCGAGAGGCCAAGAGCGCGCTATATCAGTGTGTATTGCTTCTAAGAAGCTGGAAAAAATATGGTGTGTATAGGTATAAGAGAGGTGTCTAACATGATTTTTGGGGGAATTACGGAGCAACTTTGGGAGAGCCGATTTTACGGTTTGAGCATGCATGTTGGGGGGCTAATAACTCTGCGAATATTACAGCTACGGGGCTGGGGTTTGTTTTATTCGACAGATCTCTGAAAATATGATTTTTAGAGAGAAGGTCGTAGAATAACAAATTTCCATTAAAAGTGCCTAATTGACAGCCGAACTTGGGAAATCTGTCAATAAGGGCGATTTCGGCGCCTTATATCTCTAAGAGTTGCAGGGCTGGGGTAATCTCATGTGGCCATTGACATGTAGTTTTCGTAGCTCTATTTTTCTAGGGGTAGCTCGTGCTCACAGCTCCAGCGTAAGAGGCGCTATATAAAGGCGATAGTGCATATTTTGAATTTTATCTCCGCGGAGAGTAGGGATGACGAGCTGGGATAGCCATTCATCAGTTTGTATTCGAGGGGGACACCACATATAATTCGGAGAAAATGTAGGGGCTCCGGCTGTGGGAGCCTATCTATGAACCTTCCCGGACTTGGAAAAAAAAAAAACTTAGACACGCGATTTTTCCTCTTTCTCCCCCCTTTCTCTCTCCCCCCTTATTTTTCCCCCTCTCTTTATTACCGCTTCGTGTACAGTTTTCCCGCGGCCATTTGGACCTGGTTAGGGGCTGAAAACGGCTAAAAAAGGGGTAAATCGGGCTAGAAAAACGCGATTTTCGCTTATTTTTTCTTAATTTTTCTTATTTTCTTCAATTTCGATCGTGGCGTGGGGTATAAAGTGGGCGGAGCTTGCTTGGAAAAGTTTCAGCTGTATAAAAGCACTGGAAATGAGCTTATTATGGAGTTTTTCGAATTTTTCGCTTAGTTTTTCAATAATTTTACCGATTTCCGAAATTTCGAAACCTCCAGAATATCGATTTTATCGATTTGTGCCGATTTTTGGGGTTTTGCAACCTTCAAAATGTCGATTTTATCAATTTTGCCGATTTTTGGGATATCGATTTTTGTCAATTTTCGGGATTTCGCAACCTTCAAAATGTCGATTTTATCGATTTTTGACAATTTTCGGGATTTTGCAACCTCCAAAATATCGATTTTCGCCAATTTTCGGGATTTTGCAACCTCCAAAATATCGATTTTATCGATTTTTGACAATTTTCGGGATTTTGCAACTTCCAAAATATCGATTTTCGCCAATTTTCGGGATTTTGCAACCTCCAAAATATCGATTTTCGCCAATTTTCGGGATTTTGCAACCTCCAGAATGTCGATTTTATCGATTTTTGAGGTTTGATAGTTCTCTAAGCTCAAAATATCGATTTTATCGCTGTTTAGCTGTGAACTGTAAGCCCCGCCCACTTCTTGATGTTATTATACACCTAATATATGTATATTTCCTTCCACTCACTTCATATACAATACCGCTCATAATTCGTCAAAAAAGTCGCCGGAGTGCGGCGGAGTGTGGCGGAGTGCGGCGCACTTCACCACACTCCGCCGCACTCCGGCGCACTGCGCCACACTTCACCACACTCCGCCGCACTCCGGCGCACTGCGCCACACTTCACCACACTCCGCCGCACTCCGGCGCACTCCGCCGCAGTCCGGCGACTTTTTTGACGAATTATGAGCGGTATTGTACTAGAGAGCGCAATCTGTTCTGCTAAGAGTGTTTACGGAATTTCACAACGTTGTCAACTTTTCTTGTTGTTTCAGTTCGAATGTATTGATCTGGAATGACATTGTTTCGCTGAGAAGCAAGTCACCGTCTAGAATTTAAGATATCTATCAGCGTAATCACTTCAGAGCTCATATACAGGGTTTCCCAAAAAATGTATCGAAGGTTTGATCTTTGATAACTTCCCTGTATGGGAAGCTTTCGCGGATCTTTGAGTGTCATACGGTAGAGCTGGGTTCACCTTAGATTTACAGTAGAGAGTGAATCATCGATTTCTCTTAGTTGCTGTAGGATTACGGTTAAAATTTTTAATTAATTTTAAGTTTACAACAAGCGAGAATGCTTTTAAAAAATTCCAAAAAATCGAAGTACGTTAAACTGGGGTTTAGGGGATGCTGAATCTAATTACAAAGTTTTCGCTACCGTACTCTTCATCTTCCTACGGTATGCGCACTGTAAGGCTTTGCCTAACGCGAAGGTATTTGACGTCGTGTTTTTAATTGCAACGTTGATTTAGTAAATTTTGAAAAAAAAAAGGAAAAAATTTAGCGTTACAGTGCGCATACCGTAGGAAGATGAAGAGTACGGTAGCGGAAAACTTTGTAATTAGATTCAGCATCCCCTAAAACCTCAGTTTAACGTCCTTCGATTTTTTGGAATTTTTCAGAAGCATTCTGACCTGTCGTAAGCTTAAAATTATGAAAATTCCTACCGTAATCCTACAGTGACTAAGAGAAATCGGTAATTCGCTCTATACTGTAAATCTAAGTTGAACCCAGCTTTACCGTATGACACTCAAAGATCTGCGAAAGCTTCCCATATAAGGAAGTTATTAAAGATCAAATGTTCGATACATTTTTTGGGACACCCTGTATTTACCCGATCTTTGCTGTTACTAGATTGGCTAATGAATAGCTTCCGTCGTTGAAGGTTTGCAAAAATGTTACTGACAGGTCTTTATAGAAATGTTTGGTATCAATGGAAACAACAATTTAAATTGATTAAGACGATCGATTTTGCTTAAGCAGAAAATCTCTTTAATGAAAAGCTATCATAAAAAAATCCAATTTCTTTCACCAAAAATCAAGGAACAAAATTGCGAAGTAATGGAGGTTAAAAAACAAATGATCTGCACTGACAAGAACCATAACCGAATTATACATTTAGGCACAGAAGGTCAAACTTAAGCCCAAAATTTGGATTTACAGCGTAGTAAATTAAACAAAGTTTAAAGGGTAGTTAGAAATGCAGCAATGCAAGTTCTGTGTAGCGACGACCAATGCTGCGATTTTTACTTACCGTTATATTTGTTGAAAATTTGAGTTTGCGAGCGACAGACTTCTACCATGAAATATATGAAAAGACCAAACAGCGTTAGAGTCGCTATGCCCTGGAAACTTGACTGATTCAATAAATCAAAAAGCTTAGTTTTGCTCACCTGCGCTATCGTACCTGCTACTAGTAAGACCCTTCTTCTATTGATGATACCGTAGAAAATGGCTCCATAATATAAGCCTGGATTTTCTTTACTGAGCTAATTAGTTTTACTTACATAACGAGTGGCAAATTTAGCGAAGATTTGTATTGTTTAATTAACAAATTCACGACAAGGCTGATTTATTTATCGGTTGCCGTTTCGGACCGAAGCCTTTTTCGCTTTGTCAAACTCCCGACCCACCCGTGGGTCGTATTGTCCGAAATGGTAGCCTTTTGGAAAAAATTTTTAAAAAAAATGCCTTCGAGGATTCCACCAAACGACTTATCGAAGGCGTTGATTATCAAAATATGATGCTCAATTTTTAGCGTTATACGGTAAGGCTACAAGCCATCTATCCCAACATCATGGATTTTCATGAAAAAGTGTGTTTTAGGGCTGTTTCATGTGCTGTTCACGATTATAGTGTTTAATAAGCATGCTAAAAAACCCACAAATGTAAGATTTGAGCTTTCCGAGGTGAACACTGCAAAAAATCAATAAAATCAACAAAATCGAAAAAATTTTGACGGGCTTGTAGGAGACTTTCGCTAGCCGCGAATTACCCGTGCGTGTACACTTGAATTCTCTGAAACAGCATAATTCCGCGAAGAATTTGAGCTAAAGTTTGTGCTTTATCTCTGTCCAAAATATAACTAGTGTAACACTACATTACAATGTCCCAATCCCGGACCACTCTTACTGGAACTTTGCCTGGGTGTTCCCAATCATATGGATCCTGTAGACCTCCATCGTAAATTGACAAAAATAGAGCACCAAGAATCGTACGACCCGCCGGTGGGTTGTGTTGTCGTGAATGTGTTAAGCATGTAGGGTTGGAGAGGTTCTCACCTCTCATAGCAGTTTTCAAAGATGTTCACGTCAAAGACGCAAAAAGACATTATCTGCTTTGTTTGCATCTGCCGCCCTTCTCTAATAAAAAGTTGTCGCCCTATCTTGATCTTTTGACCTCTACTGAGATGAGCATGGCCGTCAACTTTAGTCTGTGATATAGGATCTTATGTCTTTCACAAGTTAGTAGAAACTGTATCTTTTGCTTTGTGCTTGAACGTTAATTTATCTAATCAAACAGTTTTGATTTTACCTTTATTCCCTTCCACCTCTAATGTGCTATGGTGATGTCCGTTGATTTTCATACTTGGGAAAACCAAATTCTGGGTGTATTACGAACTACTACTCAACAAAGGAACTTAGTGTATAAGTCTATCAATAAATAGACTTAAATCACGACGCGGATTTCCGAAAGGCTTATGATTTGGCGTTTCCTAGTGGAAATAGGCTACCCTAATTTCACGCGTACAAGGCGCGGGGTGGTTCTAGCTTTCATCGAGCTGCTCACCCGCCCCAACGTGCTTTAAGAAGCGATCCTTATGCCGCACGATTCGTCAGGCAAAACGCAGCACGGTATGGGGTTTCTTTGGTTGCGAAGTCCTTTGCCGTGTTCGGGCTGCTCGATGAAAGCTAGGACCAGGGCTCGGCACAAGGTGGCTTACAAGCAAGCTGGGTATCGTTTTTGGGACGAAAAGCAAAGGGGGTTTCGTTTTTGTGACCGAAGAGACACGGAAAATTGGCGACGGCGACTTTTTTTTTAGTCGACTTTTCGTTTTTTGGGGGATTTTGGGGAATTTTTCAGGTTTTTAGAGGAAATTTGGTTGAGGGTCAAAGGGGACTTCGTAAAAATTCCCAAAAGTCAAGGGGGACTTCGTTTTTTCCATCTTCATCTAGCCACCTCGTGCCGAGCCCTGGCTAGGACCACCCCGCGCCTTGTACGCGTGAAATTAGGGTAATAGCCGCCACATCGGTACTCACGAGCGCAGTACATTGGGTCAGCACTCTGTTTTGCACTATGCTTTGGTTGAGCGGACCCAAATGTTTTCTGGTATCCACCAATTTTGAATACCGGTACGGATGTCTGCGAAGAAAGCTAGCTATTTTCTCAGAACTCATGAAGTTCTTGTAAAGCACCAAATGCTACGGGAAAATATGACATATTGAAAATTTTGGATATATAGATTTCAAAACTGTTTACTGAAAATCTGATTTTTTTTTTCAACAAGAGGGCTTGCCAACCTTTCTAACTGCGCTAAAAAATCACAATACCATACAATACTCATACAGTTTCAAAAAAAATGGATCCATTTGTCAATTGAAGTGAACAGTGCGCTACTAATCTCAACAGGAAAATGGAAGCCTTTGATTTAACGATCCAGTCAAGTTCGTTTAGTTAAATCCAATAACTTAAACTAGAAATGGGCACCAAATCACCAAATTCTTAACGGGATCTCTACTCGGAAATATGTCTTCTAAAGTCCCTTTCTAGCATACCTATTTCTGTGTACATAACCTATATTTGAACTTCTTTGTATTTGTGATTGATTTGTCTTGTAATTGCCTTTTCCCTATTCGACATACAGCACGCCTACGAGCGTACAAAAAAAAATAAATAAATAAATCTTCGTTAAGTTATTGACGGATTAAGAGAATTATGGACTGCAGCTAAAAGCAGCATTTTGGAATCAACCTTTGAAGCTGATCCAGAACATATAAGTCTTTTACCAAAAGGCCGAGCTTAGTTAGGTACCTTCCCTTGTTAGTTTTCTTGATGGCCGCAACCGACTAATGTAAGCCTATGCGCATTTTCATCTTTACTGCTGCTGCTAAAAACCTTACTCGATTCAGTAGACATTCGCCTCTCATGTGAGGCTTCTTGATTGTATGCTTCTTTCTCCTTTGACTCTATAATAGCTACACTACAAATTCCATTTACTTGCATGGGTCAAGCACGCGAGCGTCAGAATAGAAAACAAATAGTGTTAGATGTGGAATATTATTACGAACATACCTAGACTTAGCGTAGCGAAAGCAGGCCAGATTGTCACAATCAAAAGTAAGATGTTGTACACCACGTACGACACTAATGAAGCTATAAGCGTACTCTGCTGATTGCCCTAAAATTCCATTAATAATCCCATAAAAGCGGAGAGTCAACAAGTTTTGCTTCACGTTATAAGTTTACCTTAAAACTTGACATTAATAACGCATAGTTGACCGAGCTTGTCCGTTATCATGATGAAATTCACCATCTTATCCTACTTCTGCACGTTATTTCCCAGTCCTTGTTTTTATATGTTAGTTGGACCTCATTGATTGAGCAATTCAAGATCGAGTTCCCCTTCCTCTCTCTTCCCCCCCCCCTCTCTTTCTCTTAGGGCCCTTGCACTAACATCCTCGCGGGGAGGGGATCACAGTTTAAAAGAAAGCTTTATATTTCGAAACTCCAGATTCCTGAATTTCACGTTGTGTACCTATCCGTAAGTATTCCTATTACCCTTCAATATGAACATGTTGAACAGGAGCGAGAAGCTGTATGAACCGCATTTTCCAGCTTTTGTATGATCCCTGATGATCCCCAGCACTTTTCTTTAGGGCCGCATGCACTAATATCCCCGCGGGGAGGGGATCGCAGCTTCAGAAGAAAGCTTCATATCCTGAAGCTCCGGATATCTGGATTTCACGATGTCTACCTATCCGTAAGTACTCCTACTACCCTTCACTATGAACATGTTGAACAGGAGCGAGAAGCTGTATGAACCGCATTTTCCAGCTTTTGTATGATCCCTGATGATCCCCAGCACTTTTCTTTAGGGCCGCATGCACTAATATCCCCGCGGGGAGGGGATCGCAGCTTCAGAAGAAAGCTTCATATCCTGAAGCTCCGGATATCTGGATTTCACGATGTCTACCTATCCGTAAGTACTCCTACTACCCTTCACTATGAACATGTTGAACAGGAGCCAGAAGCTGTACAAACCGCATTTTCCAGCTTTTGTATGATCCCTGATGATCCCCGGCGCTTTCCTTTGAAGTCGTTTTTCTTTCTCCGAAGTCAACGAAAACCTTCCAAAGTTGTACTGAACATCTAACACAATACTGCCAAGCATGTTGCTGATGAGAACAAATGACTTTTTGAAAAGTCGAGTTTTTCGGTAAGCCTCAAATTTCGACGTGTGGATCATCGCAAATTTCATGACTTCAAAACATCATTTGTTCTTAGCAGCAACATGCTTAGCACTGTCGGGTTAGACAATCTGCACAACTTTGGAGATTCTTCGTTAACTTCGGAGAAAGAAAAATGACTTTGAAGAAAAGCGCCAGGGATCATCAGGGATCATACAAAAGCTGGAAAATGCGGTTTGTACAGCTTCTCGCTCCTGTTCAACATGTTCATAGTGAAGGGTAATAGGAATACTTACGGATAGGTACACAACGTGAAATTTAGGTATCTGGAGTTTCGAAATATAAAGCTTTCTTTTAAGCTGCGATCCCCTCCCCGCGGGGATGTTAGTGCATGCGGCCCTTAGAGTCATTTTTCTCTCTCCGAAGTTAACGAAAACCTTCCAAAGTTGTACTGAACATCTAACACAACCTCAGACAATCGCTGGGGGCAGGCGGGCACCGGAAAAATAGATTGTTGATTTCTCGCACCCCGCTCGCGGATTTGTTGCAAAGCAATCAGGGCTTTTCGGAAGACCGCTTGCTGAGTCAGCGGATTTTTGAGAGACCGCCTGTTGAATTTTTTTTCGCTCTTATCTTTTGCAGATATACTGCTGTATCTCTGAGGAATCGAAAACTCAGCAAGCGGTCTTCCGAAAAGTCCTGATTGCTTTCCAAAAAATCCGCGAGCGGGGTGCAAGAGATCAGCAATCTATTTTTCCGGTGCCCGCCTGCCCCCGGCGATTGTCTGAGACAGTGCTAAGCATGTTGCTGATGAGAACAAATGAATTTTTAAAAATCGAGTTTTTCGGTAAACCTCAAATTTCGACCTGTGGATCATCGGAAATTTCATGACTTCAAAACATCATTTGTTCTTATCAGCAACATGCTTGGCACTATGTGTTAGATGTTCAGTACAACTTTGGAAGGTTTTTGTTGACTTCGGAGAGAGAAAAATGACTCTAAAGAAAAGTGCTGGGGATCATCAGGGATCATACAAAAGCTGGAAAATGCGGTTCGTACAGCTTCTCGCTCCTGTTTAACATGTTCATAGTGAAGGGTAGTAGGAATACTTACGGATAGGTACACAACATGAAATCCAGGTATTTGGAGTTTCGAAATATAAAGCTTTCTTTTAAGCTGCGATCCCCTCCCCGCGGGGATGTTAGTGCATGCGGCCCTTACTGTTGACTCTGTTGTCTAACACAAAATTCGCAGAAAATCGGTAAGAAAGACAGGCAATTCACTGAAAAATGATGTAATCACATTATCATCCTTATTTGAAGTACTGTGCAATTCCCAGCTCGCCGCACTACTGATAATCAATATAATCCATTCAAAATTCATTCACGTTGGCTGAAAAATAAACAGCCTATGACATCCGCCCGAAACATGTGTATGCAAATTTTGATTTTTTAGAAACCTATACAAGACGTTCGTACAGAAACACAGAGAAACAAACAAATAAAAGTCAGCTTCATATACAGGTGGCTGAGCATGCTTTTCATGAGTGATAGAGTCATAGGGTGATAAAAGCAGTGTTCGGACAATAAGTCGATTTTGAAGTTTCCTGCTTACTGGACCTATCCGCTACGCTGAATTCAAATTTCTCACGGGAGAGAGCGAAAACAGCGAAAAAGGGCTCTAACGCAGGAAGGGAGGCAGTAGTGGACGAGATTTTCCATCCTGCGAAGTCATCTTCTGAACTTCTGCAGCAATCTTCGAGATATTCTTCTTACGCTAGCCGACCTGGCACTCACTGGCCAAGTAGATACGCGTAAATTAGAATTTAAACGAGAGGATCGGCTCGGGTTGAGAGGGTGACTTCACAGAGTGGAAGACCTCGTCCACGCGCTGATTTCGCTCCTGCGTTAGGCTTCCGCCAGAGTGCCGAAGCCATGCCAGCGCTACGCCAGCGCTGAGCCAGCGTTTTGATCAATACACGTGTGTTTCGTTAGGGCGGGGCTAGCTGACCTAGTCCTCAGCAGGTAGATATCCCGAGCGAAATACACGTGTATCGATCGAAACGCTGGCTCGGCGCTGGCGTAGCGCTGGCATGGCTTCGGCACTCTGGCGGGAGCCTTAGAGCCGTTTTTCGTCATTTTCGCTCTATTCGTTGTGGATCTTCGATTTAGCATAGCTGGGGCCAAGTATGCACAAAATCTCAAAGTCTTCTTTTCCGGACACTGCCCTTAGGTTGGAAGACGACACATTGGTAGATTGCTGGATGTTGGATTCAAGGTGCCTTTAGCAGCTAAAAGACTAGCAAACGCTGTGATACGTTAGGATAAAGTAGAATTGTAACCAACAGCGGCGATGCATTCGACATTAATTCATTATCCAGTCATACAATGCATAGATTTCAATGAGGAAAGCTGTTGAGGTAGCGTGGATTTTTTAAAGGTTTTACTTAAATCTCACCGCTTTCATAAGACAATATCACTAAAATCATACCCTAATGACCGGGTTCAAAGGCAAGAGAACGAATGTGAATTGGCACATTTGTAAAAAGAGAGTGTATTTTCCATCCTAGAGATTTGCCACAAACATTCGTGTGTATACCATTGCTGCGAAGTAGGCCACCACAACACGTAAGCGCAAAACGCAATATCAGAAGAGCGGGCGAACGGATTCGCGCAACTTTATCATTGTAAGCCCCGCGCCTCATGGGCTCTGCAGTTAATGAAAACGCGTTCACGCTTGTAGGTTTTAAGCATTCGTCCAGCCGTAGGCTTTACGTCCATTTGCGAATGGATATGGGAATAAAATTCAAGATCATTCTCAATTGACTTCCCTCTTTCTTAGCGCGATACATGCCTCTTATACAGAACAAAGCGTGGATTTGGCACGTTACACCTGGGGATTTTATTGAGGGGTGAAAAGGGAACGAGGTCGTGATCGAGGTGTCAACGATAACATGATATTAGTTAACGGTGTCAGATAAGTCCACCATACAAAACACAAACACACTAAGAAATTGACCCACCCTCATACACGTACCTTAAAGACAGCGCCACCCAAAATTCGCCTCCCCTGTTTTTGCCATTCTGGAGCCTTTCCGTGGCCCTGACTAGAGTCACTAAGTTCAAAGTGTCTAAAGCCTCCAAAAAAACCCGATTCCTTGGACCCTGTCTTGAGGGAGCGGATGGCTTTAGTAAATGGGTGGGTGGAGCTTGATAGGATCTGAGCGGGGCTTGATAGCACTTTGGCTGTTTCAGGCCCATTATCTCCATTCAGAGACAACATAAGAGGACAGGGCAACGCAGACGCCCCCTTTCTGGGGCCTACATTCAGGAAAGGCATCCATCAGTAGGGGCTAAATTAGCCTGTACACTGCCTTTAAGCGTGATAAAGAAGTCCTACCAAGCACAGTGTGTATCATTCTCATTTCTAGCATCCAAAGAACTCTTATGGACCAAATTTCAGCAAAGTCTTCAAATATTGGGCTAACATTGAAATGATCAGTTTCGAACATGAATAACGTTATTCTGAAGATGAGTTAGCTACCTATTTTCCACACAAAACAAGCCAGCACTCTCTTTGTCCATATTAGAATTCCACTTCGAATAGTTGCCATACTATGCAGTTAGCCAGTCAACTTCGCCTCATTTTTTGCTTTCGGTCAGGGCCCTGCACGAGGTTGTCAAATGACAAGCTGGAATTCGTTTTCGGCAAAAAAAGCAAAGGGTGTATCGTTTTTGAGGGATCCGGGGCGAAGCCCCGGAAAAATTGGTAGTTTATGCCCTCTGCTTATTTTAACATGTTATGTGCCTCAACAGGCGAACAATGGAGTTCGCGCGCGCCAAACCGCGCCGTCGCTAATTGCCGCACGCGCGACGTCGCTCAAACGATGCTATTTGTAACAGCATACATGACTAGTTTTCAATGTATGCGCAACGATATGACACCAAATTTTGTAAGCGAACGGAGAGAGGCTAGTGGAAACGAAGTATGA